AAAAAACAGGCCCAATCCCTAAGAGTTGGTTTGATATTCTGGATTGGGTTTCTGGAATCTGTCATTATTTAAAAAAAAAAAAAAAAAAAAGCAAAAACCTATAGCTATGACTCTGCCAAATGAGACGCACTGAACTCTATACCAATGGGTAGGCTATACCAATGGGTAGGCGGCCAATGGGTAGGCGGCCGACAGTCTCAGCCTGACAGGCTCCCTCTGACACCGCCTCTGCCCTGGCTGCTCAATGGAACCAACTGGGGAGATTTAAAAACTCTGGTGCCTGGGCCCACAATCAGAGATTCCGCTTGAATGTGTTTGAGATGTGCCCTGGCACTGGGATTTTAAAAACTTTCTGGATAATTCTAACACGCAGCCAGGGTGGAGAACCAGCGAAATGTCACTTAAGCCTGAGGCTTCTGCGCACTTAGGGAGCATTTGGAAATGTGCTTCTGGTTTTCACGATGACTGGGGATCCGGGCTCCTGGGCCAGGCCTGCCACACGGCCTGCCATTCAGGGGAGGGTCCCACACAAGCTAAGCTGTGAAAACTGATGTGTAAAGCTAATAAGTTAACTACATGTTTCCACCATGACTCTTATGTGGTTTCTCCTTGATCCACCCCATATGTTCTATTCCTGCAAAGAATCTTCTCGAAATGCCTTCCTGAGTGAACGCGTGCTCAGCAACTCAGCTCCTGGGATCTTGTCGTTTATGCGGTTAGAATCAGTGCTGGCCAGGATGGCTCCCTCCTGGCCTCTCCTCTCCATTCAACAGTCCCTTCTTCACACATCAAGCCTCTACCCACTGAGCACCCTGCCTTCTTTCTTTGCCTTCTCCCACGGTGTCGCCAGAATGATTTTTTAAAAAAGTGCAGCTCTGAGCCTTGATTTTTCTCTCGATCCCAGACACCGAGCCTCCTTTTCACCTGCGGGTACCAGGAGCCGCCTCCACTCCAGGCCGTGAGGCCGTCAGTCGGCTTACGCTGTGTTCCCCACCTGTGCCCTACTTTCCCCGGGCCTGGGAGGAAAGTGCCACCTCCTCCATGAAGCCTGCCTCAACCTTTGGATGTTCTGGAGGCACTGGGCTTGTTCTCCCAGGAGCAGGCACGGGGCCGGCTCGCTCCCTGTAGCGATGCTGGACTCACGGGCACTGAGCGAACACTTGCAGAAGGGCCGCTCACAGCCCCGGCAGGGTCGGTGCCTCCAGGTGCGTACAAGGGTAGGGTGTCAAATACATTCCACTGTCCACATTCTGAGTTCCATGAGTTTCGTTCTAGCCTTTCGCTTCTCCTCCGGATGATGGCCCTTCTGCGCTTTCCTCCTCCGCTTTCTAAAGAGGCCGGTCAGAGCCGGGAGCTCGCCGTCTCGCCAGCGGGGGCCAACCCGGGTCCTATCTTCTCGATAAAACGTGGCCGGGGCGCCTAGGAGTGGAGAGAAAAAGACACTCACTCTGCTGGTCTCTGAGTGGGGGTCACAAAGGACATTTTGGCTGGTTTTCAAGAGGCCGTCTTTACAATCCTGACGCCACAGGAGCACTGGTGCTGAACTTACTTAAGGTCATGGCAGGCGGTCCAGGGGTGGACCTGAGAGCCAGACCCGAGTGTTCTGACTGCCGCCTGAACCCCGTGGGGAGAAGGCTGCTGCTGCTTTGCCCAGTGCCGTCACTCCAACTGTGCACATTGTACAAGACGCTCTGTAAAGTTAGCTAAGGCTACTTTACCGAAACGAATGTCTAGGAAAAACAAAAGACCTTTATTGTTTTTAAGAAAAATTTTATTTATTTTTGGCTGCGTTGGGTCTTTGTTGCTGCACGCAGGCTTTCTCTAGTTGCAGTGAGCGGGGGCTACTCTTCGTTGCGGTGAGCGGGCTTCTCATTGTGGCTTCTCTCGTACGGGCTCTAGGTGCGCGGGCTTCAGTAGTTGTGGCACACGGGCTTAGTTGCTCCGTGGCATGTGGGATCTTTCCGGACCAGGGCTCGAACCCGTGTCCCCTGCACTGGTGGGCGGATTCTTAACCACCGTGCCACCATGGAAGCCCCAAAAGACCTTCACTACTCTCTTCTCTCCGAATATTTCTTATGCCCAAACTGGGTCATGGGTGAGAGCGAGCAACGGTCCTCGGCTGGGGCCACGTCCCACAGCTGCCCCAGATGACACCGGTTCCCACACGGAGCGGGTGGGTCCAGGCTCTACTGCACCTCTCGAAGACTAGTAATAAGATTTCAGTGTGGACTGCAAAACCACAAAACAAATGATAAGATCACAAGTCAAGCAACCAAAACTTGGAGGGTATCTGATTATATACGTGAACTCTGAGGATGGCATAAGACGACACAGGGAATTTCTTACACACAGTACAACTCTCTCTCCCAACACATACAAAGTGAATTTGGATGACATCCGCCTCTGAAAAATAAAAAACACATAACTTTGAACAGCCAAGAAAAAAAATTGCAATTTATTAAGATTCAACAAAGCGTTGTACTTTTGAAAGCAACTTTCGGTGCATTTTCTTCAACAATCACATTCTATGAGGAAAAACATTAAAAGCCACAAACTTGTCTTTTAATCTCAGAGTTACAGACATCTTTAATTCAAAATAAAAGGTCCAAAGAGAAAAACCAAACCCACCCCAACAAAAAACAAAAACAGAGAGAATCTTTACTTCCATCCTCAATTTAAAAATATCAGTTTTCTACAACTTGATGCTAAATGCAGCATGGGAAGCTGTATGTCTGGGTGCACACGGGCACGCACGCACGTATATTTGGTGTACATAACGCAGGGACGTGTACATCAAATATACAGAACGCATGTAATGGCAATGAGATGCACTTACTCTGAGGAAGGTCTGTTTAGCTAAATACACTACTGAACTTGAGAAAAAAGTCTTGAACCAGTTTGTGCATAGTTCATGATCCTCTATAAAACCAGCTTTTGTTGATCTGCAATTTTGCAGGACATTTTTTTTCTTTTTTTTTTGTTTTTTTGTTTTTTTTGTTTTGTTTTGTTTTGATAAAACCATTAAAAAGCTAATTAAAAAAAATGTAATGCACAAGTTTCCTGATCAAGCAGGCAGGGAGCACATGTTCATATATTTTTTTAAACATACTCAAGGGTATGTTACTCCATTGTCTTTCTTTCTTGCAAAACAATCAAAACATTGATCATTTTTAAAACATAAAGCAATTTTTAATATATAAAGCACTCTTCGAACATCTATTTCCTTTGAGTCCATTATTTGGTACATACGTAACTGCTACACGTTAGAGATTAGGTATCTTTCTTCTTTGTGTTTTTTTTTTTTCCTCTTTTTTCTTTTTTTTTCTTTATTTTTTGTTTGTTTTTTAATAACATCTTCAGTGCTAGGAGTTGGGTTACAAAATACATGAAATGGTGTGGAGCTGCCCCTCGGGAACCCTGGCTTTCCTGAGAGCGCATCCGCGTGTGCAAGACAGTGACCACAACTCGTCACCTGGACGAAGGGGACAGTCGACAGAGTCCACGACGGTGGCCGGAGGGGAAAACAACACTGTTCAATCCCAGAGCTCTGAAGTAGCAGATCTGCATTCTGAAAATAGGTTTCTTTACGACGGAAGTCTTTTTTTTTTTTCTTTTTTTTTTTAAATTCCTTTTTAAATTTCTTTTTATTTTAAAGTCTGAAGGAGAAAAAAAGGTCTGTAAACAGGTGGGAGCCCTCACCTCGGGCTCCTCCGAAAGCAGTCACAACCCACGTCCAAGTGCTTGTTTCCGTTCCTCCCGCGGAACCATCCACCCTCAACAAGTATCTATGGCCACAGTTCAACGAGAGTTTTTTTCTCTTTAACTTTATATTCCAAATGGAAAAATGGTGCAATACTCTGGTAATAATTTTCTTGCATTAGTCCACAATAAAAAGCTGCTAAAGGTAGGTATACATATTATTTCTCCAGAGATATACACTGTAATTTTTAAACGCAATAACAGAGTCCTTGAGTAAACATTTACACATGAATTGTCACCGGCCCTGTCCTATGAATTCTCTTTAATGTATAGGATTAGCTAAAGGAAGGGCAGGGACACTCAGTGCAAAGTTAGAAGCTAATAATAACAAACGTTTGACCAATGCGCCAAAAAAAAAAAAAGCACACACTGAATAAAAGGGAAAACCCACAGTTAAATTCCTCACACACTTAACACACACAGAAAGTGCGCACGCACACGCACGCACACACACACACGTGCTTCTGTTTCAACACACACACACACACACACACACACACACACACACACACACACACACACACACACACACA